GATATTGCTTTCGATTCAAATCACATCACACTATTTCCTACTCCTAAAAAAATAAAAAACGAACTACACCCAGTTCAATTAAAACCCTTGGAAAAGAACCGCGACACAAAGAAAAACCAAGAGGAACTTGTTACACTACCTAACAAAAGAAAATCTTTTTGTCTTTTTTCCTTCGACTTTAATCCCTCAAGAAACATGTCAATGATATCCATTGTCGGGAAAAATCAAAAAATTTAAATTTTTTATGTTTTTTTCAAATTTTTTCTATCTCTAACTACTACAACTAACAAAAAGAAACACATATACATACAAACATACATACAGATATCCCCCACCCCACACTTTAAATTGTGGCATATCCCATGGTACAAAATTAAAAAGTATAAGGTAATAGAAACTTCCCTGAACATCTAGTCAGGGTTTGAGTCGATGTCGGGCTCCATTCCTCGACTCCGAACTAATGCACGCATCCATGCGGACAGCTTCTTCTCAGCCTTCTTTGGATACACCCCACACTTATCTTTCTCGCTCATTGCAGCCTTCTCTTTCGACCCCTTCACTTTACACTCAACACTCGCAACTGACTTGTCTTTTTTTGCCCCATTTTCTACATCCATCTTAAAAGTCACAGTCTCCTCACCCATTCTAAGCATGAGTTTTCTCTCGTGTATATCTAATATCGCTCTACCTGTTGCTAAGAATGGTCTTCCTAGGATAGAGGTACCTCCTTTTATTCCTCCATATTCACCACTATACAATCCACAAAAAGTACGAACTTATCCACCCGAACTAACATATCTTCCACTATTCCCTCGGGTATAATAGTCATTTGGTCTGCCAGCTGCAAGGATATGGGTGTAGACCTCATATCTCCAATCTCCTTCTCCAGTTTCCTATAGATAGATAGAGGCATTAAATTAATTGAGGCACCAGAATCACATAAAGATTTACAAAAATTAATAGTTCCTATAGAGCAAGGTATAGTAAAACTCCCTGGATCTCCATACTTTTGTGGGAGTTTATTTTGCAATATCGCGCTGCAATGCTCTATGAGCTTGACCACTGAGGTTTCCTCTATATTCCTCTTCTTCGTAAGGATCTATTTTAAGAATTTATCATAACTATACATCTGTGAGAGCACTTCTGTGAATGGTAAGTTTACATGAACCTGTTTCAGCACATCCAGAAATCTCCCAAACTGCTTGTCCAGCTTTTCTCTACTTTGCTTTTGAGGGAAAGGTAGAGCAGGCATATACTTGCTCTCTTTAGGTTCCTCCCTTCTCGAGTTTTCATCCTTCTTTTTCTTCTCAGCTTTCATCTAGCCTTTCTTCTTCTTATCAATATCACTTTTCAGTTGCTCCCCACTTTCTTTTTCAATTCTCACATCTTTTTAGATTGGGGTGAGATCTTTCAACACTTACTCACTTCTCAGAGTTACAACATTCAGTGTTTCTTTGGGATTTCTTTCCGTATCAGTAGGGAGAGTTCCTGGGATCCTCTCAGACAACAAAGTAGCTAGCTGCCCAACCTGTATTTCCAGGTTTCAAAAACCCGTGCCAGTTCTTTAATAGCTGCTCTATGTTCCCGTATAGTTGAGCTACGAGCTTCAAGTCTCTCATCAGTTTTCAGAATGAAGGCCTTCATGAGATCTTCTATGCCAGACTGAATGGGTTGTTGAGGCTGATATTGCTGCCTCTACTAATTTTGGAAGATTGGAGCTCATTCTAGGGTCTGGTAAGGTTGTCCAACGGGCCGACCCACCCCGTTTCGTCCCGCCCCAAGTTAAACAGGATAGGCCAATGTTAAACGGGACACAGGATGGGACGGGATGACCATTTCGTCCTGTTTGTCTCGTCCCGTCCCGTACCACGTCCCGTCTCATCCCGTGTCCCGTCCCGTCCCGCGTCCCGCCAATTTTTTTTTTCTTCTTCAAAGCTAGCCGAAGTTTATTTAATTTCTACTCTACTTAACCCATCTTTAAAACTAAGAGGTGCAAAGGGACTTGTTCGTAAACTTTATGAGAATTTAGCAATTCAAGAAAATGAACAACCATCTCTCGAAGACTGCCAAGCTTATCTTAAATTCTTAATCAAGGATTGGAGGGTATTAAAGACGAAGAAGGCAAGGAACAACTTTTGTCATGGTGGAGGGAGTGTGGCAAGGCTTTTCCAACACTTTCAATAATGGCCCGAGATATCCTGGCTATTCAAGCATCATCAGTAGCATCGGAGAGTGCTTTTAGCGCAGCAAGATTTCAAATTGGAGATCATAGACATGCATTAGCGGAGGACAGTATAGAGATTTCCGTAATATTCAGAGATTGGATTAATTCAGAAAGAAAAATCTTGGTTTTGAAAAATTAACCACTAGGGAAGAAGAAGAATACAATGAGATACTTAGCACTGGGAGCGATGACGACATGGAGCTCATGGAACATCAATCAACATTGCCAATTCCAATAAAATGCCCGAGAGATATTATTGATAAGTTACAAAGAAGCTATATAGGAGATTACAAATATTAGTATGATAATTTGTAATTGTCTACTAAGAGGCCCAGTTCAAACAGAACCCTTCCTAGAAGGTGGATGCGTACATTATGTGCTCTTCAAAAGAATTATATTTGTATTTGAGATTTGAAAGTTCCATTAATAAAATAAAAGGCTCTAAGCGTTGATTTTTTTTTTATGAATTGTCTTAGGTACTTAATAGTTAATACTTTGAAATTATATTAAATAAATTATAATTCTATTATAAATTTACAATTACTAGAATATTTCATTACAAGTCTTTTGTTTTAATATTTTATAATTCTTTACTTAGTTTTCTAATTTTTGTTTTAACATAATATCATTTAACTTTACTAAATAAGTCAAAAATCTAGCCGTTGCAAACTTTAAAAACATAGTAATTTTCAAAAAACTAGACGTTTTTTTAAAAAAAAAATACACTTAAGGCCCACGAACCCGTCCCGTCCCATCCCGTTTGTTAGCGGGGCGGGATGGGACGACCGTTTCGTCCCGTTTGTCCTATCCCGTCCCGTTTCGTCCCGTTTCGTCCCGTCCCGTTTGTTAGCGGGACGGGAGGGGACGACCGTTTCGTCCCGTTTCGTCCCATCCCGCCACCGTCCCGCTTAAATGTCGTCCTGTCCCATCCCATCCCGTTAATTTCGTCCCGTCCCGTCCCGTTGGACAGCCATAGGGTCTGAGGTTGTTTTGTTGCCATGCATTCAAAGTACCCCAGATGAACTACATGAAAAATCGGGGTGCCTCTGACCCATTGCATTAGAACTATAATTTCCCACAACATTCACTTCCTCAGTTGAGGCTTGACACTCATGAGTAGGGTGTCCTCTTCCACATATATCACACGCTGCGTGAGGATCATTCTATATCGAGGCTAAAGTCAGCTTCCGTATTTCTTTAGCCATAGCATCAAGTTGTACCTGCATAGATGTATTAGCATCAACTTGGTAATCACCAGTTGATTTTCTTCTTTTAGCACTCTAAGAGGGCCACTGATTAGCATCTTCAGACAACTCATCAAGAATTGTAACTATCTCCTCTGAAGTCGTCTTCATCAACGGTCCTCCAACTGCATTGCTCAATGTTCTACGCGAGGCCGGTGGCAATCTTTCCCAAAAGTCATGGAGTTGCATCCAAAGTTCATTTCCATTGTTGTTAACACTTTCTAACTATCTCCTTAAACCTCTATTATGCTTCAAAAATGATTTCAGTCTCTTTGTGGCAGAAGGTATGGATTTCTCTTCTATTCTTGCTCGTCTTAGCTGAGGAGAAATATTTATCGAGGAATTTTCTGTTCATCTCCTCCCAGGTTCTAATCGAACCACTAGCAAGCTTCGAAGCCACTCTTTAGCATCATCTTTAAGTGAAAAGGGAAATTCCCTTAAGTGCACTACACCTTGTGGCACCCATGCTTATAGCCTTGATGCAAAAATAAAAGCTCAATTCACAGAGGAGAATGCCAGCTTTTCTAAGCTCCTTTAAGCCGTAATATCATGTGCTACCAAACTGCCTTAAGACAACACTTCTTGCGCTTTGTTCAGTTTTTTTATTGCACAACCTATCAAACAAACCAAGTTATAACGTCAGAAAAAAACAATTATAATGCAGCCCACATTTGAATTTTGAGATTATGACAATAATCGCATAAATCATTGTTACCATATAATATTTGATTCTCTGAAGCTGCCACACTCAACATTAAGAATACTTGTTTAAATCATGAAATGAAACATCCTGTAATTAGTAAAAGAGAGAAAAAAAATGACATATTGGGATGAGTAGCATTACTTATTAGAAAATAAATAAATATGAGAAGCATCATATGCTTTGCTCACTGACTCTTAAGAGTTGAGTCAAACTTCCATGGGCTGATCCTTGAGACAACTGTGAAGAGCACCGTGGAGGAAAACTTTCTTCTGCCAATTCCTATTATTTAACGAATAAAATAAAAATTTATGTAACAATAAACAAGAAAAAATAATTAGATTTCGCAAGATACCATAGTCATTGATGCATCTGGACGTGGAAAATGAATCTCCTGAACATAGTCTACTTGCTGATCAGAGCGTTGAGGAGATTTTGAAAATGATGTCTGATTTTTCCTCTTGGCTTTTTCCATAAAACTTTTTGGTCTAGTATTAGAACGACGAGTTGGTTGCTTTCTTTTTAACCCAGTCACCTTCGTGACATTTGTATTATCAACAAATACTGTCTCATTTGGCTCATTTTGAATAACATTGCCTGGAACTGACTTTTGAGATTCCTTTCTCTTTTTTACATCCTTTAACTTTGAAATTATCTCATTCGCATGATTTGCAACCAATTCATATCCTTCGATAGATTCTGAAGCTTCACTTGAAATCTGAACAAAAGTTTGACAGAGATGTCTATACCTCGCAGTAACTTCAACTTTCGGATCAGTTTCCTTTGCTATCAAACTGACATCCATCTTATTCAAGTTTGTAGCATCTTTCGTCTACCTCTTTAGTATATAGTGTTCAGGAATCATATCCTTTACATTCAGTATGTCCAAGATCTTTAAGGCATGTCTACATAGTATACCCATAAACTCAAACAGTTTGCAGCTGCAAGAAACTTCAGTTAATGTTCTCTTAACAGTTACTACGTGCTCCTTAACACTTCCATGAGTGCTAACATTATATGTACACAATTCTCCTTCATCACTGGAGCTTTTTATATAAACAAGTAAGGACCTTTCCCACTCATTTTGAAACATATCAAATATAGTTGGGGTATATACTTCCCTAGCATGAACCAATAAAGGAAATTTAACCTTTAAAATAGATATTCTTTGAGTCATATCAAAATTTGATTTATTCTCATTAGCACGCTTATCATCAACTGATCTTTGAAAATGCTTAAAAAATTGTACAATATCTAGATCAGATTTCAAATATCCCCTTAAAAATCCATTAAAACTCTCACTCAATTGTGTGCTGCGCATACCTGCTGAGAATGTATTTCTTCCATATGTCATGGAACATTTCTCCCTTATAGCAAATGTATTTTTCAACCAACTATTATCCCCAAGGTCATATTTCTCTAGCATTTCCTGCCACGCAAATAAAAAATCCTCCTCATACTCATAATGGTAAAGCAATTTGCTAAAATCTCCTGGAAATGATGCATGAGCTCTAAAGACATGATTTAAATGCTTGAATGCATTCTTTTCCAAGTGCCACACACACAGGCGATGATATGTCTGTGGCATTACTAATGAGACAGCAAAAGATATTGCGGGATCTTGATCTGTGATAAATGTCTTTGGTTTCTCTGCAGACATAATCCTAAAGAATGCATTAAAAAGCCACTCAAAAGATTCAGCGGATTCTTCGTATAAAAGGGCTGCACCAAATATGACCATTTCCCTATGATTGTTCAAACCAACAAATAATGCCAAGGGTCGGTATTCTTTATTTGTTCTATACGTTGTATCAAAGGACACAATATCTCCATAAATCTTAAAATCCCTTATCATCTTTCCATCAGCCCAGAATATATTAGTTATCAAACCTTCATCATCTAATTGTAAAGAAAATCGAAAAGCAGGATCTTCTAGAGTTCGTTTCTCAAATTAATTCACCAAGCTACGAGCCACTCCATGTTTCAAACTATCTGTTCTTTTGTCACGAAGATAATTCTTATGATCTCTCTTAGTGTAGCCTAGAAAAGATTGTCCTCCAGCTTGACGAGCAGCATAATCAAATGACGCTTTAGGACGTATCCCCAAATCGTCTAATAAGTCAATTTCATATGCTTGAGCCATTTTTATCTTTCTTTGTGATGGCAACAGATGAACTAAAGATGGAGGAACAAGATGATGGTTATGTTTCTCTTCGAATGAAGTGATGCGAAACCTCCCATTTGATTGACGACTTACAATAACATGAGCCAAGCAACCGGTTCTAGTTTCCTTTCTATGTTTTTGAACAGTAGGATCTCGTTTGTCTTTACCTCTGTAACCTTCTTTATAACATGTTAATTTTCTTGAAGTCACATACCCGTGTACTCTGTTTTTGTTTGCATATTCTTTCCTAACACTAAAACCAATTGCAGCCGCGTATTCATTGTAACAATCATATGCATGCTCATCTGAATCAAATTCCATGCCAAGTTTTATTGGCACGTTACATCCACTTCAGAGTCACTAGATATATCCATAAATCTACATTATAAAAGATATGAATATGACAAATAATCTATATTCTTAAATTTTGGAAAAACTTTTAAAAAAAAGTCTCAAATAATGAATTACAAGACATGGGGTCATCTGCAATCTTATTCATAAAATTTAGCTTTTTTGAACTTTTTCACTTATAAACTAAGATTGGCGTCTATAAAAGGTTGAATAGAGTCTAATTTTCAAGTGATAAATGTAGAGCAAACTGCTATCATGTTGCCTTTTGTGTTTGAAAGTAGGCATAGCCACTAGGAAGAAATATGTTCTTCTCGATCAGCATTTTGTGAAACAATTTTTAATCTTAATTATTTAACTTGCTATGTGTGTTGCAAGGAATACAATTTCTCACATTGTTAAATATTGATTTCCTACTTTATTCTCAAAAAGTTCGGTTGAGACATTTTATCAAACACATCGTAGACATTTTTTAACATAGGTAATTTGACACTACAAAAATCACAACAGGTTTAATTTAACACTACAGAAATCAAAAGAGGTGTAAGACTGAAGTAGAACATGTTCTGTTGCCGTCGCTCTTTACCCAGAATAATATTTTGCTCAAACCACTGATTTTGTTTTTCTCCTTGCAATTTGTGTTGTTGTTGTAGTAGTTTGTAAATGGTTTAATCTTTTGTTTTTCTTCATTCTGGCGCCAAAGAATCGTTTCCATTGATAAGAAAATATTTTCCCAATCAAAATGAAATTCCCAGCAAGATTTTCGGATAGTTGATTTCTATTTCCAATTTTGATACTAACCCAGTAAGAGAATGAAGTTTAATCATGGGTTAGTCTAAATAAATTTTGGCCCTTAGATATGGAAGATGACAGATGTCATTAAATTAGACATGCACTTATGAAAATTGAGAGATAATGTACAGGAGTTAGAGCCAAATCCGTCATTTTTCTTCTGGTTGAAAACATCAAATTTTTGACTCTAAAAAAATTAGAACATGTGGAATCTTTTGGAGCTACACTCCAATAAATCCTCAAAGAAGAAAAGATATTTTCTTGCTGAGGAACCCTCAGCCACTCATGTGAGAAGGACAACGAACATATTGTACCATACACATATAGCCCACTAGAATTATGTGTTCTAATTAGATGGAAAAGAATTGCATTGCACCACATCACTGTTCTTGAATCTGATCATCAACAGACCAAGAAATTCAAAACCCAACTTGTGCTTGTGTTCCTAGCCTTTTAACTAACCTCCAAAATCTGGGCTGTTTTTTGTGCATACAGCCAAAAGTATTGCGATTATGGCACATGGGCGCTCCATTTTTTTCTTTTCATATGCTTGTTAACATCAAAGTAATTAATTAGAGAAAGCGAAAGGTTTCACTTTTAGTCTATGAGACTTAGTTCTAATTTTATTTCCCTAATCAATGTTGTCTAACACTATGTTTGGATCATTGTTATCCATCGTTTTATAATGTATTGTATTGTACTGTATTGTATCGTTTTATGGATACAATGTTTGAATAGATTGTATCGTTTGCTGTTGTTAAATAATATTTTGGTGTTTGGTTTGACTGTATCGTACTGTACTGTAACTGGTAAGTTCACTAAAATACCCCCAATTGTTTTAAATAAAATTTATCAAGAACTACACATAAAGATAACTTAAGACAACTTCTTTCTACTAATTTATGATTAATTATGTAGTTTGAAAACAAGAGCAAAAACCTGAAAAAAAAGGTTAACTAATATTAGCAACAAAAAATTTAATTATAACGATGTAAAGAGACAAAAGATTTAACAAAGACTTGGATAATAAGAACGGGGCAAACCAACTCTAGAAAAGATGGAAGAAGATAAAGTAGGTCAATAGGTGAGATTTGGAGTAAAAATAAAATAAAAAAAATAAAAAATAGAATTATAGAGTAATAAGTAAGGGTACAATTGGAAAAGAAAATAGGAAACGATCCCACCACACCAAATCGATTGTTTTATAAAATGGGGCTTTTGGTTGTTCCGGAACAATGGATTTAACAATACGATACAACCAATTTTAAATAAACAATCAAAACAAACATTGTTTTGGGATAACAATACAATAAAAGCGGTAAGGTAGATTAAGCTAAATACCTTTTGCACGAAGGCTTTAAAATGAAAAATAGATCTTCATCCACATACGATACTTAACTATCCTAGAAGCAACTTTGAGTCCTTTATTGTAACGGCTTCCTTAATAATGTACAATATCTGATAAAAAAGTGTCGGGATCATGCGAACTCATGCTTCTCTCCCTGAATCATATATAATAATGTTATATTTCTTCAAAATTACTTAAATATATATATANCCTCTACAGTTCAAATTGACAGTTCAAATCCCGTCTTGTTTTGAGATGGAGTATATGTGCGTGTGTGTGTAAAAATCACTAAAAATTTTAAAAGGATATAATTTTAAATTTATAATTTCAAAAGTATTGTGGATTTATGGTAAGAGACTAAAGTTAAACCCCTCACATATAAATTTTAGATCCACATCTTTACAACAGTGTTCCAACTCTACAGATATGATAAACAATTATAAAGTGGCCATAATAATGGGATCAATGTTGGAACAAAACATTATTTATTCTAGAAAAGTACCTTTGAGCCCTACATGTTTTTAGCTTTTGTCCTCGAGACCTACATGTTTTAGTTTTTAATTTTGAGATTGTGCTTAAGGGAATGATAGGCAATTGGAAATTAGTACGTTTGCAAACTTTGTTTGGTTAATTACTATCATCCCTTGAAGTACTAAACTAGATTCTTTTTGGATAAAATGGAAGTTAGAGGACTAAAATGTCATTAGGGATGGCAAATGTTGAGCTTCTACTTGCCTTTCTCTCGGGTAACTTAATTGGTGGTACTTAGTCCAACATTAATTTACTCCCGGTTTATGTGAACATACTTTTTTTGCTCCGCTCTAAAAAATTGATTTTTTTTAAAATTTGGAAATAATTTAGCTTAAATTTATAATTTTACCCTTAACGAGAAGCTTTTATAATCACAGAAATACTCTGGCCCCTTTTTGACTTGTTTAGGACCATAAATTTCAAAAGTCTTCATTTTTTTCAAACTCCGTGCTTAATCAAAACAAGTTCACATAAATTGGAACGGAGGGAGTACTTATTATACCAAAGTTATAAAACTAAGTTTTATAATGAAATAATAACTCAACTACGCATTTATATCACATAAAATAAGAGAGACATGAAAACACTAAATCATGTCCCAAAATATAAGCAGGCTGCCACTCCAACGATTTCGGTTACATAATATCCATGTAGTATCTCTTAAAAGTTAAACAAAAAAAAACCCCACTTTAAAAAATGAAACACTAATAATGTGCCACGTGGTGAAAAACATCGGTTAGGTTTGATCAAAAGATAGGTTTTTTTATTTGATGTGGTTGCACATGAATATTATCTAAGGTGAATTAGTAGATATGACTATACTTATAGTGCAATTTTATTCATGATAACTATCTACTTTCTTTTTTTAGGGACCATATTTAGTATTTTAAGATGTTTTAGTTACGTTGTAATATATACGTAGTTGAGTTATTATTTTTACTACAAAAATTAGTTTTACAACATTATGGAACCTTCCGTGAAATTACCGGCCGCTAATTATAAAAGAGAAGAAAACATTATTCAAGACATGTATAGGATATCCCTTCACTGTGATGAGAAACTAATTCACAGTGCTCTCAAAAATTTAAATAAAAAAAAAAACACAGTTCTAGATTCACGTCGAAAATTAGAATAATTCTATAATTTTTTCGGACAAAAAAATCAGCCTATGGCTTTGATACCAATGAAGGGATGCGTAAATCTAAACACATTAGATAGCGCATAAATTGTAAAACAAGAATCTACTTATTTGCGTATCGGAAGCGGAAAGAACGGATGAACCGCGACTGAAATTACTAGTCGGCGGTGATTGTCATGAAGTATTGGAGCAACCTCCTATATTACAATCTAAACCCCTCGCCTGATTTGGAAAAAGATAGCGTGGAAAATTACTGCTTAAAGTATTTTTTAATATACACTATAATTGTACTTATATAGGAAATACAAGGGTTAACTAATAACCCCTTATGGGGACCCAAAATTTCCTACACATTTATTTCAAATCTATAAATACCCTTTACTTCTTGCATATATCTGCATCGATCACTCACTACTTGAGCAAGAAAAAACACCACTTCAACAGAACAATGGCTTCCAAGAATAGTGTTGCTCTTTTCCTTTGCCTTAACCTCATCTTGTTTTCCATGGTTTCTGGGTGTGGTACTTGCCCTAAACCTAAACCTAAGCCAAAACCAAAGCCTTCATGTCCTCCTCCTCCTTCTTCAGAAACAGCTATATGCCCCATTGATACCCTTAAGCTTGGAGTGTGTGCTGATGTTCTTGGATTGGTGAATGCTGTTATTGGGTCACCCCCAGTTAATGCTGCTCGGTGGGCCGGGCCTGAACCGGACCGGACCGGGCCCGCGGTCCTAACGGGCCTGGTGGGCCTGGTGGGCCGGTCCTGGGTGGGCCGGTCTTGGTGGGCCTCTGAGCCCGTCACGGGCTGGTCTCCATGGTTGAGCCCACGAGCCCGGGACCGTTTGGCCCGGGACCGGCAGGCGGGCCTGGGCCGGTCCTGGCGGGCCTGGCGGGCCCAACGGCTATTTTAAAAAAAAAAAAAAAAAAAAAAAAAAAAAAAAAAAAAAACCTCACCACACATGGCACATGACTCGCTAAGGACGGTCA